TGGGGCAGGGAGGATGGAAGAGAAGGAGGAAAGAATTTAAGAAAAATTTATCAGGCTGGAAGGGATCTGCCCCACTTTCAGCACCTTCACCAACAGCTTTCTCATTTCATTTAGCAAATGGCAAGAACCGTGCCAGAAATAATAGGCAGCCAGCTCAAATCCAGCCCAGGGTGCAGCCTGCTGCCCCACACATCTAGTGCCGTGCAATGGGTACTAAACCCCAGCACCAGCCCCTGGCCGGGCAAGGAACAGCCTGGCACAGGTTAGCGATGAATAAAGAGCATTTTCATTTGCCTTATGTGCTTGGCCAGGCTGTGCAGCATCAGGGACCGAGTCAGGATGGAGCTCTTGAGGTGGGCAAAGGGCTGGTCTGTGGGGGTTAGGAGAGTATGGTTGGGTCCTGGGTAGAAACATGAGGTTTTGGAGATTTATCATCTGCTGAGAGTCTTGCACATTTGATGGAAAAGGGCTGCAAAGTGGTGTAGGGGAATGGGGCTGCGATGGGCTCCCCCATCACCATTTAATGGCTGCAGCCGCCCAACAGCCCGTCTATGGGACCTCTGTGCAGGCACACCAAAACACAGCTCAGCTCATCCCAAAAACCACATAACACAGACCTTGGAGGCTGCAGGTGGCCCCTGCCTGCTTGTACAATCCCCATTCCACATCCTCTCACCCTCACGAAGCCTCTTATTAACTGCTGAGTGACATGGGCCAGTGTGGCTGGGCGCAGGGCTCGTACATGTGCCCGTGGCCCCTAACATTGGGCAGAACATCTCCTCTCCCACAGACCATGGGGTGAAACCACGTGCAGCCCCCATGCACCCAAGAAAAGCCGGGGTAGGACTCCTTCCAGAGCCTATACGCAGCATTAAACAACCACAAAAGAACCCTCCTTACAACTGGCAATAACCAGCGTTTATCAGCATATTTATGTCAGGGCTGAAGCGATGCTGAGGGGTGGGGATGGGGAGCAGTGAGAGCTCGTGATGGGATACGGACGGGCTTTTTTTTTTTCCTGCAACCCTTTTCCACTAGCCTGGGGCGGGGGGAAGAAAAAAAGTTTTGTTGAAGGTGATGTTTCAC